CTTTTTTTTAATAATCATTTTATTGGGGGCTCATACAACTCTTATCACAATCCATCCATCCATCCATGTGTCAAGCACATTTGTAGCCATCATTCTCAAAACATTACTTGAGCCTTGGCATCAGCTCCTCATTTTTCCCCTCCCTCCCCACCCTTCACGAACTCTTGATAACTTATAAATTATTATTATTTTGTAATGTCTTACACTGTCCAACATCTCCCTTCACCCATTTTTCTGTTGCCCTTCCCCCAAGCAGGGGGATTATATGTAGATCCTTGTGATTGGTTGCCTCTTTCTACCTCACCCTCCCTCCACCCTCCTGGTATCGCCATTCTCACCACTGGTCCTGAGGAGTTCATCTGTCCTAGATTCCCGGTGTTTCCAGCTCTTATCTGTACCAGTGTACATCCTCTGGTCTAGCCAGATTTGTAAGGTAAATTGGGCTCATGATAGTGGGTGGGGAGGGGAGGAAGCATTAAAGAACTAGAGCAAAGTTGTATGTTTCATCGTTGCCATATTCTGAATTCTTGCTGTGATATTTCCTTAGATAGCTAACTCTAAATTGAATAAATGTTCTTTTCCATCAATAATATGTTACAAAGGAATTGTGCATATTTGGTCATTTCTTAAGTTTACATGTTTCATATCTATTTGCCATATATTATTAGTTTGATGTCTATTTGTTGTAGATTGTTATTATCAAGATTTACATATCTATTTTCTGTATATTACTGTGCTACCACAATCATTCAAGATGATTCCATTTCTTGATATTTTGTTTGTCTACAATACATTACATGAGAGAACTTCAAAAGTTCATGGAAAAAAGGAAATTAAAAGATAATGTAATTTTTCCATGAATTTTTTTAAGTACTTTTATTGGGGACTCTTACATCTCTTATCACAATCCACACATTCCTCCAGTGTGTCAAGCACATTTGCACATATGCCGGCATCATCATTTTTAAAGCCTTCTCTTCCCACTTGAGCCCCTGATATCAGTTACCCATTTCTTCCCCCTCCCTCCCCCACGAACCCTTGATAAGTTATAGATTATTATTTCCATATCTTACATCATCCTCCGTCACCCCTCACCCACTCTTCCATTATTCGTCCCCCTGGGAGGAGGTTCTAGATTGATCTTTGTAACCCTTTCTCCCCCTACCATGCCCTAATCCTACTTCCAGGAACTTTTGAAGCCCCAGTAGTTATAACGCAATATAAAGGCTTAATAATCCAAAGAAATCATCTCCATTACTTAAAAGGCTTGTGCATTAAGCTTACTAATCTTTGCCCCTCAGTTTCTTTATTAATAAAGAACTGGAAATATTTATTTCATAGTATTGAGATATGTTTTGGAGCTTTCAGATATAAAAATAGGTGGTCAGCATTCATATTGCATCTGCATCTGTTGTAGGTACTTTTTCCCTTAATAGGTCATTTTTTATTGCGCAACATCTATGAACAATCCTAATAAAAATGCTTTCTATTGTATACCATTACACAGATCTTTCAATAATAAAAAAGAAAATTCTTGTTTTCTAAGAAAATTTTTTGCATGCTAAATTATTTGTCAAATGTTTCTAACTGGGTTAAACATATTATTTTCAAATTTCATATTTTTTGTGGAAACTAACAAAAATATGCTAGTGAAGGTATACATTAATATACTTGTTAATATTTCTTCACACTATGATTTTCCTAATTCTAAAATTAAAATGATGCTGCTACTCTGTTCCTACTTCAGATTGCTATTTCCCAGTCTTTAGAAGATAAATATTTTCAAAATTCTAACACTATTATAAACAATACTGGCTTGCACTTAAATTATAAATGTTACTTAATTTACTTAGAATCTACTGAGAAATATTTCAAATTCGACCTCGGTTCTGCAGACCCACTGCCTAAGCATTAATCTCCACCTTTTCTTCAACCCTGCTAGACTCACAGACACCCTGCTAAGCCCTTACTTCCTGCAGAGCCCTTGACAAATAAGCATGCCCTATGATTAGAGTTGGCATGTGAGTCAGAAACAAATTCAGGTGACATCTCAGAATAGTTTTACTACAGATGCCAAAAAGAATCCATCATTAATCTGTTATCTAAGTAAATATAAAAACAAAGCCCAGTTAAAAGGATTGCTTTGCCAGCAAGTCCAAATACACAACAAAGTCTTGAAAGTTCTTATCAAGAAAAATAATTGTTAAGTAAAACCAAACAAAAAAACCCGGTAGCTGGTGAGTCAATGCCAACTCATGCACACTTTGCACATGTTGGGAGTTGTTTTCAATGGTTGATTTCTCGCTGCAGAAGATTGCCAGGCCTTACTTCTGAGGTGTTATCTGGGTCCTGAAGCCTCCAACCTTGTTGTTAGTGCCGTGTTACCCTCTGAGACTACCCAAGGGCGGCCTTTCAGAAAGATACCACCTCCTACCTGTGAGTATGACTCACCAATACCCAACTGCCTGCTTTAATGATTTTTCCATTGTTTATAACTTTGCCTCTTTAATCTTGAGAGCAAGTGAAGGCATCTAACAGTGGAAAGCACACAGTTCAAATCAATACCTTTAAACCTCACACAGGAGAAGAGCACTCAATTGCTTTTTAAAACGGAAGGCCTGGGACTTTCACTTCAAGTACAGTTGAAAGCTTTCTCACAATGAAAGAAACCACAGTGAGATTTTACAAGGCAGGGAATAATTTAGCAAAACTTCAGCAACAAAAACATCTTGTCAGCATTTAAACCTGATATACAATATTTTTACCACAAATGCCAATGAAAGAAACCATGCTAACTGGGGAAGCTGAAGATCAAAGCTAAAGCCAAACAATATTCTAAAAAGTCCTCCACCAAAGTATAAAACAGACAGCTTTCACAAGTTCCAAAATCTCTCGCAGCACGCTATAAGTGCTAACATTAAATTTCACTAGATGTTTTAAGATGTTTGACGTATACGGTGACTTACTAAGGTTTTATGAGAAAAACATCCAACATGCATTTTGTACTTATGATCCTTCACGTTTGCTGAAGAGAGAATGCCCAGAAACATCATTGGTTTTTTTGGCTGTTTTTAAAGCAGATTATTCTGGAAGAAAGGCTGTCTTCTAAAGGGCTTGCTTCTAGCTAACAAACTTCAAAGAACAGAGCAGAGCACACACCAAGAGGTATGTCATTATATAAATCCTTTAGGAAGAACAATCCCAAGAGTTCTACTCAAAGGCCCAGAAGATTTTATCATCCCACATAAACAATGTGCCAGCAGCACAGCCTCCTGTGCACTGTGGGCAGGGCACTACACTGGGTTGGCATTCTGTTATTCAAGAGGATCTGACACTTCATTCTGGACAAGTTTAAAGGCAAGTTGATCCTGGTTTCCTTTTATAATCCGGTAATTATTCTAGTTTAAAAATCGGGACCATGGGTGATCTATCATAGTTTTATATGTGCTGAAATTGCCAGATGAAAAGAAGAAGAGAGGACAAGAAGGAGGAGAGAAAGGAGAGGAAGCAAGGCCAAGGCTGCAGGAAGGAGGTAGATTCTGAGGCGCACCAAGCCTCGGGCATGAATTCCAGCGCTGCCACTGACTTTCAGGGTCACTTTGGGCAACCCTTGAGTTCCTCATCTACCAAGATGAGTTATTAATAGTCCTTGCTCTATGAGGCTGCTGAAAGACTTGAGGGAGATAATACATGTACAGCACCTAGCACAGCGTCTCATGGACAGCAAGTTATCAAAATATTAATTATTCTTAGTTAATTATTTTTGTTGTGATCAAATCAGTCAGTCCGTTTTGTGAGTTTATAGTTTAGGCTTAGTTAGTTTAGGAATGTACTTAGTTCTTCAACAACTGACAAGGTAATCTTTGTGAAACTAAGAAAGATGACTGAGCTCAAATCACATATAGTTTTCAGTAAATATTTAGTGGAGAATTAGCGTTGTGTAATGCATAGAAAGATAGAGAGCAAGATGGCCTGGCTATGAATTTCAACTGGGTATGAATGCACTCCCTTGCTGGTTGTGTGATTTTAAGCAAGTACTTCCCCACCACCACCCCACCCCAGTTTCTGTTTCCGTTGATTGGGGAATGATAATACCACCCTTAGGTTGCTGTGCGGATTCAATGAACTCATATACATAAACTGCTTAGAACAGTGACTGGCACTTATTAAGTGCTATGTAGGGTGGAGCCCTCAGTGCTGTACGTAGTTGGTTAGGCATGGACTGCTAACTACAAGGTCAGCAGTTTGAAAGCTGCTCCCTGGGAGAGAGATGAGGCTTTCTACAGCTGTAACGTTTTACAGCCTCAGAAACCCCCAGGGGCAGTTCTGTTCTGTCCTATGGGGTCACTATGAGTCAGAACCGAGTCACGATCCATGCACCTGGTTTAAGTACTAGAAGGTGTCGGGGGTAAGTACTGGATTGCTAACTACAAGGTCCGCAGCTGACCCACCAGCTTCTCAGAAGCAGAACAAGGAGGCTGTCTGCTCCTGTAAAAATCTCCAGGCTTGGAAACTCTCGATAGAGTTGCTTTGAGTTAGAATCAAGTTTATGGCAGGGGGTTTGGGTATATATATTTCAGTGTGTGTATATGTGCTTAATTTAAGTATTAAGGTACTGACATTATTAATAGTTCTTACCAAGAAACTGTTTCCCTTACCAAAGTGGGCATTGTTACTATCATTTTGCAGTTATTGAGGGAACGATCATTTTCTAGTTGTTGAGCTAAAATCTGAACTAACTCCTTACCTTACTACTCATCAATTCCTTACTTATCTCTTTAGCTTACTCATCAACGGCCAAAGTCTTGGCCATTTACTCGAAGAGGTTACATACATGCCACATAGTTGGTGTGAGGCTTTTATTTTTACTTCTCTGCATTTTTATGTTTCTTTGCCATGCATATGACATTGCTTCTATGGTAATAAAACATAATTTAAATTTTTTGAAGAAACCTATTTCTTTGGTTGCTTTAAGAAAAAAAGACTTGTGAATTCCATACCTGTATTTATGAATGATGGCATTAAATAGTTTTCCATCTCTCCAGCAGGTCGTGAAATTTTCACACCGCATCCCAGCATAACCCTCTGTTGCCTGCTGTGTCCACAGGAGCAATCTCTCTTTTGCAGACATGTCCTCGGACTCTCCAGTAACATGGATATCAGATATCTACACATAACAGAAAGCATTTAAACATTAGGAAGGAGACTCAAATTATGAACCTACTGTGGGCCAAGCTGCAAGTACCAGTTCACTTAATCTTCATAAACTTGCACACTACTTATATCATGCCTGTCTTACATAGAGGAAAGCTAGCTCTCCACGATGTTCATTAACAGGTTGAAAAAGCTTGATTTAAGCCATCTTTGTCCAACTGAAAAGTATCTACTTTTTTCCACTATATCAAACTTGCATAGCACTGAAAGTTCTATATTCCCTTTTGCTAGTCAGAGCTCATAAAACAATTTGTGTAAATGTTTTCTTCAAGATCAAATGGATCAAAGATAAAAGCCTATAAATTAATCCACACTACCACCTGGAGAGCAGAATTGATTCAACAGGAATTCTGTGTAACGAACAAAGTAAGAAAAGAGCGCCCTCTCCTATTAATGACATTACATAACAATTTGGCTGAAAGTCTGTAATTTTCTTGAGTCCTTTCTCGGCTTGCTCAACATAAAACTTTGTGACTTGATTTCATCCTCCCTCCTCCTCAGTGTACTACACTTTTTGTGTGTTCATTAAGGTTTCTAAAATTCTCCCATTCAGTCATGGTAAAACAGTAGAGTAGTGAAACTGGTGACCGGTCCACACAACGTACATGTTTCGATAGAGCCGTTTTGAGTAAAGGTCCTACAGAATCTGCTGCTAGTGATACTAGAGCACAAACAGGACCTTACCAAGGTCACACAGTCACTCTGAAGCAGGGACTAACACCAACACACAAGTGTTCCCTCAATCGGTGCAGGATGCAGAGCCAAGAGTTCAAGAAGGTAGGCAGCAAGCCAGGATCAGGACGAGCAGGTAAGAAATCAAAAGCAAGGTAAAAAGCATTTTGTAAGAGAGAAAAAAAATCACTAGACTAGAGGTGATTTTAACTCATGGCAACTCTTAGGGCAGAGTGGAACTCTCCATAGGGTTTCTAAAGTTGCACCGTTATGGAAGCAGACTTCCCTATTGTTCTCCAGCAGGGTGGCTGGGGGGTTCGAACTACTGATCTTTGGGTTAGCAGCTGTGCCATGGGGCTTCCTGCTGGCTCCATGAACCCAAACCCAAAGCTACTGCCACTGTAGATGTTTCCTCTATGTGTGTAAATCAACACCCTCACCTTACAAGAGCCCAAAGGTGGCCAGCAACAAACCCGGAAGTAGATGACACTGAAGGGCCTTTTCAGTCTAAAGGTTTTCTTAACCCCAGGACTCCGGGTGAAGAGCCCCTAAAGGAAAGAGGAGAGTTGCTCCACGGGTTTCTGATGCTCTAAATCTTTACTGAGGTGGACAGCCACGCCATTCTTGTGTGGAGCCCCGTGGGGGTCCCCACTGCTGGCCTCTGCTAGCAGTCAAGCTTTTAACAAGACACTGCAAGTCCACACAAAAGTCAGGAGGTCAAAATGGGTAGCCAAAGTGACTGAAAGAGAGAAATAAAAATGGGGAGTCAACCATCGAACAAAACCAACTAAGGGAAGCTTTTCATGGGGGTCGTGCCCAGCTCAAACTTCCAGCTGCCACCAGCACCAGCAGGAAGGCTGCAGGAGTAAAAACCAACACTGAGCCTGGCACCTGCTAATAACACCAGTTGCTGGTGAACATGACTGGTCCTCACACATCCTTTCTCCCGTACCAGGCAGAGCTACCCAGCCATGTTCTATGGGCTCCACTCTTAGCCACAGTCTACCACGTCCCCTAAAAGAAGTCAAGATTTAAAAGTAAGCAACGTATCTCCACTTTAATTCTCTTTGCTAGGAACGTATGATAACCGCTGTGGCTGGAAAAGAAACCTCAAACACACTGCCAATGAGTAGGTTCTGACTCATAGCGAGTAGCCCATAAAGGGTTTCCGGTCTGCAAATCTCTATGGGAGCTGACAGCCTCATCTTTCACCCATAGAAGAGTTCAGAAATGTAAAAACCAAATTGACTGCCATCAAGTCAGTTCCAACTCATAGCAACCCTACAGGACAGAGTAGAACTGTCCCTGTTTGTTTGCAAGACTATAAATCCTTACAGGAGTAGAAAGCCTCACCTTTCTCCAGAGGAGGAGCTGATGGCTGTGAGCTACTGACCTTGTATTTAGGAACACAACTTGTTACCCACTAGGCCACCAGAAATGTGAAATGTGAAAATGAATTAAATGTCAACTAAGATAACACATTCGTATTAAACCCTCTTCCAGTAGATAATATCAAAGTATGTTAAGAAACAAACTTAACCAAGAATGTTTTTTTAATTATTTTTTTAAATCATTTTATTAGGGGCTCATACAACTCTTATCACAATCCATATATACATCAATTGTGTAAAGCACATTTGTACATTCATTGCCCTCATCATTCTCAAAACATTTGCTCTCTACCTAAGCCCCTGGCATCAGCTCCTCATTTTTCCCCCTCCCTCCCCGCTCCCTTCTCCCTCATTAACCCTTGATAATTTATAAATTATTATTTTGTCATATTTTGCCTTGTCCAACGTCTCCCTTCACCCACTTTTCTGTTGTCCATCCCCCAGGGAGGAGGTCATACGTAGATCCTTGTAAAAAGTTCCCCCTTAACAACCCACCCTCCCAGTATCGCCACTCACACCACTGGTCCTGAAGGGACCATCCGCCCTGGATTGGATTCCCTGTTTCCAGTTCCTATCTGTACCAGTGTACATCCTCTGGTCTAGCCATATTTGTAAGGTAGAATTGGGATCATGATAGGGAGTAGGAGGAAGCATTTAGGAACTAGAGGAAAGTTGTATGTTTCATCGTTGCTACATAGGACCCTGACTGGCTCGTCTCCTCCCTGAGACCATTCTGTAAGGGGATGTCCAGTGGTCTACAAATGGGCTTTGGGTCTCCACTCCGCACGCCCCGCCCCCCCGCAATTCACAATGATATTATTTTTTGTTCTGATGATGTTTGATCCCTTCGACACCTCGTGATCGCGCAGGCTGGTGTGCTTCTTCCATGTGGGCTTTGTTGCTATCAAGAATGTTATGAACAAAACTTAGCCATTAACACACCCAGCTCTAAAATTCACTTTCCTTGTTAATAAAACTTAAATGACAATGTTAACTGTTTTTCACCTCCTTGGGTTTTGTTAAAGATTCAATGAATCCACACCAAATCCTTAGTACAGAGTCTGGCACAAAGAAAATGCTACTGTTCCATCACAGTTTTATTAGTCGTATTTTGCGTCTCATCAGCAATTTGCCTGCTGGCATCACAAACAAAACCCTCCTAAACCAGAGTTCCTATTTTGGAAACGTGAAGGCCTCACGTCCCACATCTAGATATTATTGGCTATCACATGACTTCAACTTTTGGTGGTGGCTGGTCTCTCATGCACATAGTTCATCTGTGTTTCATCTCTCCGGACTCAGCTTGCCACCCTCTCCCAGCTTCTCAGAAATAACTGTTGTCACCTTGCTGTTGGGTGATGGTCAAGTTGGTTCCATCCCTAACTCCCCAACGAACAACAGACTAAGACACTGCCCAGTACTGTGCCACACTCACAATTGTTGCTCTGTGGGTCCCTTTGTTGCAGCCACTGGTCACTCCATCTCCCTGAGGGCCTGCCTTCTCCTTTTTGCTGCCCCTCTACTTCACCGAACATGATGTCCTTCCTCTGGGACCGGTCACTCCTGACAACATGTCCTTGCCTCTAAGGACTACTCTGGTTGTACTTTTTCCAAGACAGACTGGTTTGTCCTTTTAGCACTTCACAATACTTCAAATATTCTTTGCCAGTATCACAATTCACAACACCTCCATTCTTCTTCAGTATTCCTTATTCCATGTTCAACTTTCACATGCATATAAAGCGCATGAAAACCCAGGGCTAGAAAAAAAAAACAAAAAAAAAAACCCAGGGCTAGGGTCAGGCATGCCTTACTCCTCAAAGTAATATCTTTGCTTTTAAATTCTCTAAGAAGGGTTTGTGTAGCAGATTTACCTAATGCAATGTGCCTTTTGATCTCTTCACTGCTGCTTCCATGAGCATTGATTGTGGGTCCAAGGAAGATGAAATCCTCGACAACTTCAATCTTTTCTCCATTTCTCATAACGGTAGTTGTAGTTGTGAGGATTTTGGTTTTCTTTACATTGAGTTGTAATACATACCAAAGGCTGCAATCCTTGATCTTCATCAGCAAATGGTTCAATTTCTCCGCACTTTCCACAAGCAATATTGTGTCATCTGTATATCCCAGGTTGTGAATTAGCCTTCCTCCAATCTTAATGTTGCGCTCTTCTTCATATAATCCAGATTCTCTGGTGATTTGCTTAGCATACCGATTGAACGAGTATGGTGAGAGGATACAACTTTTACATGCACCTTTTCTGGTTTTAAACTATGCAGTATCCCCTTGTTCTGTTAATATAATTGCTTCTTGATCCATGTACAAGTTTCACATGAGCACAATGAACTGTCTTGGAATCCCCATTCTTCTCAAAGTTATCCAGTCTGTTATGATCCATGGAGTCAAATACTTATGCATAGTCAATGAAACACAAGTAAACATTTTTCTGGTATTCTGTGCTTTCAGCCAAGATCCATCTGACATCAGCAAGGGAATCCCTTGTTCCATGTCCTCTCCTGAGTTTGCCTTGAACCTCTGAAACCTTGTCAATGTACTGATGCAACTGAGGCTTGATGATCTGCCGCAAAATTTTACTTGCAGATGATATCAATGGCATTGTTCTATAAGTGAAGCATTCTTTTGGGTCACCTTTTTTTGGGTAGAAATATAGCTCTCTTCCAGTCAGTTGTTTGCGTTTCATCAATTCCCAGGGCTTTGATATTGGCTAATGCTTTCAGCACAGCTTTGTTTCTTTCAGGGCAGCAGCACTGGTTCTTGCTCATCTGCTACCTTCTGAACTGGTAGTAGAATGGTGACTACCGGCAGTTCTTTTTGGTACAATGACTCTGTATTCTTTCCATCTTTTTTCGATGATTCCTGCACATGGATC